AAAGTGTGTTTGCATTGTTCAACTTTGCGTTCAACATTTGCGTTCAACTCAGCGCAGGGTTGCACGAAAAAAAAGTTGAATGGCTAAAAATATCAAAATATGAAAAAATATCAAAATATTCGCCATAAAAAGGTGTTTGCATTGTTCAACTTTGCATTCAACTTTTGGTTGAATGGCCTTTCAACTAATCGCTTTCAACAAAGTTGGTCGCCTGCCAACATTTAGGCATTCAACTTTTTTTTCGTGCAACCCTGCGTTGAGTTGAACGCAATTGTTGAACGCAAAGTTGAATAATGCAAACACTGCTTAAAGAAGAACAGATAACTCTATTGGGGTGTTCACAGTTCGTTCCAAATAGTGTCTCAAAATGTAGACGTCTACATTTTAAGACGTTTTCTAACCGTAAAATCTGTGGTGTTGTTGTTTCCCATACAAAATTGGAAAACGACGCCGTCTACATTTTGTCACACTCAAAGGTATGTTTTTTACGCGTCTACATTTTGCAACCTCGCAGCAGGGTTGCATTATGGCAATACTATTCATATTTTTTTATTTATTGGGCACTTTTTCTGTATTTGCATTTAATTTGAGCGCAATTTCTGATAAAATGCAACAAATCAAGGAAAAGAAATAACAAATATTACGAATTGGTAATTAAGTTAAATAATTACAATTTTTCAGAAAAAAACTCGAAAGGCGACATATAAAAAAAGCAAAGTTTTGAGACGATTTTGCGACGACTGCTAGAAAGGGGTGCTCACAGTTTGATGCTAAAAATGTCTCAAAATGTAGACGTCTACATTTTCAGACACAATTTGGAACGAACTGTGAACACCCCATATTTGAAAGATTTTGATTAGTTTAGTACGACAGCAACACTAACGCAATTTGTACCAAATAACCGAAAACATTTTAGTCAATTACTCGGAAACTAAAGAAGATATCCAAAAACCACAAATTGTCAAAATGACGCTTCCGGCAATTTTCCATCCAAGCGACGTTATTTGAATGTTGCTCGCATATTTTCGAGCCTGTATGTAAATTTTCTGGAGAAAGGTTAAAAAGTATATTCATCTGCTGAAAAGATATTTTCGCAGATTCACATCTTATTTAAAATAAATCTATCAGCCCTATCTCCAATTCCATGTGAATAAATCTCTCCAGTGCTTTAATAATTTTCACCACAATAAATAGCTGCTTAACACCCTAATTGCCGAAAAAGCGTTGCTTGCAACACTAGTCCTTTATGGGGACCAAACTTGGTGAAAAAAATAGCTAAGTTTGTTTACTGGATATACTGAGGCTCATATCTTGGAACTAGTACTGGGGACAAAGTCAATAGCGAATCGATAAAGTTTCACTGTCGACATTTATTGCAGGGTATGTATGCGAGCGTACAATCGATAGTTTATTTTCGATATGACTAGCGTACTTGTACGCGATAGTTCGTACCAGTTTGTATGTACTATCACGTTTTGGTGTTCTGGTACCCAAAAAACTTGTAAGAAAGAGGAAATTGGGAGCGCAAAACGACATTTCTTTTTGAGGAGAAGTGGCTAGTTTATACTGGATTTTACTGGATAAATTTTTGCTAGTAAGAACTTGCAAGCGAGAAAAACAGCTGATCGCATGTTGCTGGGTGGAATTGAAACTAATAAAAGAAATGTTTATGAGGTTTTTATAGTTGAAATTGACAAAATAAACTTATTTAGATATAATATACATTGTTTTATTAGCAACTAGCTGCGAATAAACAAAAAAATTAATCAGCTATTCGTAAAACTTGCAAATTATTACTGGTTTTGCGTTCTTGTACTTTTGTGCTATGAGAGCGAATTCTCAGAATTCAGTTACTGGAGAGTTACTGGCAAGTTACTGGATAATTTGTAAAAGAACACAACTATGGTCAGCCGTTTTTTGCAGGGACTATTCGATAGTATCGATACTATCGGTAAAAGGGCTTCCGCACGCCGCGATTTCTCAGGTAACTTTTAGTTGAAAGCAAAAATCGCCTCGACCGGACGGCCTTTCAACTAATCGCTTTCAACAAAGTTGGTCGCCAGCCAACTTTGAGCTCGTTCAACTTTTTTTCCTGGCAACCCTGTGTTTGTTTACATTCTATACATGCTTTTTTTCTTTTTTTTTAACTTTTTTTTTATCTTTCAGCTTCTCTAAAGCACCACTACCAACGCTTGGCTTACCAAATTTACGCCAATTGATAAAATTTTGCGATTTAAATTCATTTTCAATAATGTATTCGCCTCGTCTGAATAGGGATGGCAACTTTTTCACTTTCAACTTCTCATTCAACTTTTGTTGCCTGTAAAATCGTCGCGTGCGAATGCCCTATAAGAAAAAAAATATGAGATCCTTACTACTGCACTATTTATATTAAGGGTATTCATCAAACCTTATAAATGCATTGTAAACCGTATAAACTTATAATTGTGTAAACCTTATAAATGAACTGTCAAAATTTGTATGGAAACTCGTTTACATATTTCTGATAAATTTATCCAGCGATTTCACTGAATAAACTTGATAAACTGAAGACAATGCAACTCTGTCGCAACTCTAGCTATGTTTTCTTAGGCAATAATCGGGATCCGCATACAAATTTTGCACGCAAATTCAACAACGATATGATCCTGATAGAGATCTGGTTCAATTATTATCCCGTCTGTTTGTTTTGTTTCACTGATAATTCGCAAAGTTTGGTAGCCGTGATAAATGAATTCATACACAACCAGACATTCTGCCATTGTTTCTTATAACTTGCTTCAAATAAATAGCCTTTATGTTATATGTACATTTATTTAAATAGATATCTCGTAAATATAATTTTTTCCAATTTAGTGGGGTAGTTTCTATAATTTCTTTACCCCCGTGCTAGTAGTATAAAGTAAGGTCGGTGTTATACAGACAAACTTTTGTTTGTAAAATTAAATGGCGGCTGCTTAGTTTGCTCGGAGGTGGTTATGTCGAGTTTGGCACAGGGTTGCACTTTCATTATGGTTTTCATGGCTATTGCCAACTCGAAATGAGAATTTCAGATGTACATAACGCGCACAATTTAAAATTTTTGTATATGACAACACCGAATTCGCTGCAGTTTGACCAAACAAAATTAGTTTGCTGTGAGAGTCGCCAAACTCGCTCTCTCCGAGTTTGCTACAACAACAATTGCACGCAGTTTGCCAAACAAAATTTCTGCATAACACCAACCTTAGTGACACTGCGCTTTATAACCAAAGAAAACACGACTATTGTCGCATGTGTAAACGAAAAGAGGTCGTTCATGTAACAGAGTGCATAAACTTATAGGATTATCTGCTTGATAAAGTTATGGGTTTAGATGAATACCACTATTAAATATGGTAATATTAGTAGAAAAAACAGAAATGTTAGTTTTAATCAACATTTTAGTGTGCTTTATTGAAGATATCAAAATTAGTTACTTTAAGCAACAACAAAAAACACGTTGAGTTGCTGGCCCTCGCAGAAATGAATGAAATAGAACGTACAATGTTGGCCCTTGTTTATTTCTAAAGATATGAATAAAACAATGCATTAATAAAGGAATTTATAAAAAGAAAAAACTTACTGCAGTTTCCACTTCTGCTCGGGTTGAATATCTTTTTAGTTT